AATAACTTCAATTATGTACTCTGCCGCTACAACAACCACGAAATTTTTGAAAATTTCGAATTTTGCTGTTTTTTAACTTCTAAAAACGTAAAAATTTACACTAAAAAAAATTGATCGATATTTTTTTCTATTAGATTGAAAAAATTTGATTATGTTTCGAACTTGGAAGTGGATTATTAGAATTTTTTTTTCAAACAAAATTTCAAAATATTTTTTTCAAACCAAATTTAAATACATACATAAATAAAATTAAGCCGATTATTTAAAAAATATTTATAAAAATTAGTTAATAAATTACAAATAAGTTTCTAATGATTATTTTACTTCTTAACTTGCAGCACGTTCGAAAATTTTTAAAAAAATTTTTAATTTTAGGAAATTTTAAAATCGCTAGCAGACGCTATAAAATGATTCTGCATAATTTTTCCGTTTGTAAACAAAAGAAATATTATTTATTTTTTCACACTTAACATACATACCTTTTAGAATTCACACATATGTATGTACGCCTCAAGTGAAAATAAATAAATTTTGAATCCACTCAAAAATAATACGCACTCATGTTACAGCTAAACTTCAAGTGCGCAGATTTGAGTGCAAATGCGTTTATTCGCAGCTGATAGCTAATTTTCACAGTTATACATCGTTTAACATAAGCACTTTATTAATAGATATTTATAATATGTGTGTGAGGATTAAGAATTAAAACTGGTGAGAAAACACAGAAAATAATAGATTTTATATTTCTTGCGGAATTGTTAAGAAAAACACATGAAAATATCAAATTTTTGTTGTTTGAAGTTTTTATAAAGGATTTTCTTTTTCAAAAATTTAACGGTATTTTTCTATAAATTGGCACCGCATTACTGTTGTTCAGTATACATATCTATTTTTAAATCAACCGTTTTGATACACCAGCTGATTACAATAATCCACAACAACACTTTATTTGTATATAATATTGAAAAAAAAATAACCAAAAACAAAAACTTTAACACTCTTATTAGCTGGGTGTGACAAAAACAAAACAGAAATGTATTAATTAATGCGCGCTGCTGCGACACGTGAGCTTACGCTGCGTGCCATTAATTTTCACAGAACAAAAAATAAATGAAAAAACTACAAAACAAAAAATAAATGAAAAAAGCTACAAAAAAAAAAATAAATGAAAAACAAAAAATACAAATTAAAAAAAAAAAAAAAAAAAAATTTGCCGTACAAGAACTTAATATTGATCGCTCAGTTTGTATGGCAGCTACATGTTGCAGTGGTCCAAACTGAATTTCCAAATTTATTCAAATATAGTAGCATATCCTTAAACAGTAATTCATGCCAAATCTTGTGGAGATATCGTGTCAAATAAAAAAGTTTTCCATACAAAAACTTGTTTTTAATCGTTTAGTTTGTATAGCAGCTATATGATATAGTGGTCCGATCTGAACATTATGGGCGGAGATTGTAGCTTTGCCTTGGACAATAAAGTAGGCCAAATTTCAATTAAAAAAGTAAGTGGTCCGATAGCCTCAGGGTATATAAATCCAAAAAAATACAAAAACAAAAAACAATACAAAAGAGTAATACAAAAAAAAAATACAAAAGCAAACAAAAAAAAAAACAATACAAAATATTTCAAAAAAAAATCATATTATGAGCTCAGCAAATGACAAAAATGTGACGCGTTCCACTAAACGCCGCCGAAACACCCGCGCTGATGTCCAAATGCCACAAGCTCGCAGCAATCAAATGTTCGATAGGCGAATTGCCGACAAACACATTAATATACTATATATATATGTATATGTATGTATGTATATACACTTGTGCATGCGTATGTAAATCAGTGTAATATCGTGCGCGATTCCGACCACAACAACAACAAGCAGGCTGCTATTAGCAGCTGAAATCAAAATAATCATCACCAGTTATAGAATTTTTCGAACACACAAAACAAAGCATAAACGAGTGTAAATTATAAACACTTTGCGCCACAAAATTGTAGATATGTATATGCATGGTTATATTTATACTTGCAGAACCAGCTGTAGTTGTAAGTGTGTATGTTTGCATGCGCCAAATGAACTTACGCATTCATTTGCTTAAATAAGTATGTATATTTAAATGTGATACGCTATACACATACACACACACACACATATGTATAGTATATTGAGGAAATTTTGTAACTTTAAGGACGTCAGCGTGGGCACTAAATACAGCGCTTTGCTTTTCCGCTTAATTCACACCACAACAAATTAGTTACTTGACTTTTCACAAGGGTTGTGCAATAGGATTTCAATTCGTAACGATTTATCATGGCACTACTACTGGCAAATATAAATATTCGATTTTTTTTAAAACCGTTTCGCAACACTTAAAACAATTAAATAAATCAGAATCATATTTATTGCACACATATACACAAATATTTACATATAAACGCTGGCACCGTCGATAATAATATACTATGCACGTTTCGTCACAATGAATTATTAAATTTTTCGTTTGGGTAAAAATTTGTAATTTTTATGCGAGTATATGGGGAACCGTTCGAACGACATGCAAATACGACGGCAGCTAATCATAAACTGTTGCCGCTAAAATAAGCCAAATGAGAGGCAAACCTTTGGAAGCAAAAAAAAAAAAATATATATAAAAAAAACAAAAAAAAAAATATAACAACAACAAAAACACAACAATAACACTAACAACAGCATACAACTTATATACAAAAAAATACGTATACAAAGCCATCAACGATAAAAATGAAAGCCAACAAGAACACATATAAACGAAGAAATCCAAAAATTATTTCAAAACGAACTAAAACAAAAACAATTACATGCAAATACTACACTCAAAACGGCAAGAGAATGAGGTGTATAAAAACAAAAGCACATAGCTAAACAACAACAGCAAAAAATCGCAAATAAACACGAAGACCCAGTGAAAACAAAGTAAAAGCAAACTGTCTATATAGAATTGTTATTAACACAACCACCAACACAACAGGCAGTCAATCTTGGCGCTATTTGTGAGTCAAATGCAGTGCGGTAAGGTGGCCGCTAAAGGCATTTCAATTCCAACAAATAGTTTTACACACCATTCGCACATTCCATTAAATTGCCGGTACTACATTTTCCGATGCTACTATTCAGACTGTTGTATATGTAGATGAAAACGTGGATGGGAACTACATAATAAGTGGGTACTAAACAAATGCTCAGCTGTTTGTGTAATGCTTGCGCTCAGTGGCGTTGGCATAATAATTGTTTTTGCATTTTTCGTTTATAGAAACACTGTTTTAATTAATATTTATAAGTCTTCTATTTGCATCATGAATGCTTTTTATGAAATATGTATAAAAAAAAAGTCTCAAGAGAAACCCAATTTGTAGCGGTATTTACATTAAAAAACAAAAATTGTTATATAAACTTTAAGAGTATATACTCTGAATGGCTCAAAAATTCATTTAATAGTGATTTTTCATGCGGCCTGTCTCCTATACAAGCGTTGCACAATTTCTCATATTAAATTAATTATAGAAAAGGCAATAAAATTGCGTTTGTTATTCAATTGAGGAACTATTTAAACGATGGTCAATATTTAGCAGAGTTAAGTGTTGATATATTCTCAGATCTGCTTCGTATGTAAGGTGTAAAGAGTGTCTATATAAGATATGTGGATTATCGAATTACCAAATATTTCCACTTAAAATGGCAGACAATATTATAATGTTTAATATGTTTATATGCAGAAAATAATAATTTTCTTTAATCATAAAATAGGACATTTGTTCTTCATGGCGTATAAGTAACAAATTTTCTTTACTGCAATAGTATTCATTCATACTCAATTCAAAATTTATTGTTGCAGATAATTAATAATTACTGTAATATAATGTATAAATCATAAAATATATTTCCAGAGCCAAACATTAATTTCAAATTTGTTAATTTTATAATTTCAATTTTTTTTTAAATTGAATTAAGCGATTCGAACGTTTTCCCCATATGTACAAACGCATTCCGATAAGCAAAAAAAAAAAGTCCAATAAGAATGCTTTAAAATGGAATTTGAAGTAAAAAATAGAAGCAGATTTATTAATATGTCCAGGATTTTCGCCATATCAACATTACGCCTAAAGGGGTATACATATATAACATTTACTGCTCCAAATTGGTTAAGCATAAGTAACAAATAGAAATGCACCGCCGTAACTGATACTCAGGTAAATTGCACCTATATACATACATATGTATATGAATGTTGTACATGTATAAGTATCATAACTTAATAGGAACACTAGAATTGTAAAGTAAACATATATTTCTTAACATTGATACAATGTATTCCCTCTTAAATAAAATTGATGCTTTGTTGAAAGCGAAATTCTGCAGCACTTTCGACGATCACGAAATTTAGGTCAATAAATATGCAATTGCGATAAAAATGGGGGCGGTGTCAGCGCAAAACTGCAATACACGCTAGTGTACATCCGTAGCAATCCAGCATTTTGGTATTCTTTACATACATCCGTACAATAGTTTAATAAACTCAATACGAAATATCTCAGGATAAAATAAATACTAAACTATAATAAATGTTTGCAAATATGGATTACTCACCAGAAACTAGTCGGTCTTCTTCGTGAGACATCTCAGTGCCTTCCATTTTAATATTGTCCCCTTTGCTCAGCTATACTTGCAAACAATTAGTTCATATCTTCTATAAGTCGCTAAAGCAATGAGCGTACAATTGTGCAAATATAATTGTTATTATAATTATTTTATGAACTTAATAAGAACTGCGCTGAAAATTAGTTATTTTTTCTACCACTCAAATTGACAAACACACAAAGCAGCCATTTTTCTTCTTTTCACTTTGACAGTTCACCATCACAGCACTGTCAGCTTATTGCTTTGTCTCTACGTCTGTTCACAAAACAGAGTAGCAAAACAAAACCAAAAATTAAACCGGTTTATTTCATACAATATATGTTGATTGTATTGCAAATATGCAAACATATTTGGAAAGAACAAACAGCGTAAAGCTTTCCTAAAAGTTATGAAAATATTAGAAAAAGAAAAACTAAGGGGGTCTCATCATATCTTTATTTACAATTCTTTAATATGTTTATACTTTACTTCCACATTCGTAAATATTTACGAATGACGCAAAAGAAAATATGTGATAAAGCTGGCAAAAGGTTTGTTCGTCTGAGGCGAAATTAACCGCATTCACAATAATGAAATGGGTTCACATAAAAGAGTGCAGATCAACAATTTTAATTTTATTAGAAAATTGTTATGATTTGTAATGTTTTTACAAATTTTAAATAAATAAATTTTGCAATATATGCTTACATTTATACGTACTAACACCTTCACAACACAATATATTGTAATATAAAAAATGCTCTACTACGTTAAAAAATATATACATATTTTTGTTTGTTTTGAATTTTACGCATGGCAACTTGATGGTATTTCAAGTTCACGATGGTTAACAAAGGATGCAATTCCGTGCTGTCTGGTGAAGATTATTGGTTATAAAAAAATTAATATTTGTGTTTTATGAAAAGTGGGACTTATCAAGCATTATTGTGTTACCAGCTTCATTAAGTTGGCAACGAAACATATTTCTTCTACATTAAAGTCTTAAGTACATTCAATAGCATAACACAATGGACAAATTACCTGGATGTAAATTGGAATTCGTGCGCGATGACGATTATGTGGAGTATTTCATTTTTCCAGAACTTCCAGATAATTTAACAAATATACAAAATGAGTGCACAGAATTAGAAAATCTCAGCACAACATTGCTGGCATTTCAAAAGCAATGCTTAGAAATCGTTGACAAACGTGTGAAAAATTACGGCTATATTTGGCACAAAGACGAATTTCACTTGCAAATACGTACTGAGTGTGCGCAGGAAAGATTATTGAACGATGAAATTAATGTTGACTCCAACGATGCTCCGACAGGTGACTTCATATATTTTTATTTTTAATTTATAAACACACTTACCCACATACATATGTTGTATTTTAAATATTACAGCGTTTCCTCTGCCCCCGCATCTTCATGGTGTTACGCATTACGGTGATAATATTGAGGACGAATGGTTCATAGTACACCTTTTGCATGAGTTGACACGTGAGATTTCCGGTTGTATTGCGCGCGTCATTGATGCCGATGGCGAATTCCTTTTAATTGAAGCTGCTGATGCACTGCCTTCATGGGCTAATCCCGATAAATGTGAGCAAAGAGTAAGTAATCACAATTGTTATGGTATTTCTATAACAAAATTAATTATAAACAAACAATTATTCTATATGCTTAGGTTTATATTGCCAATGGGCACATGCAACTGGTGCAGAAATTAACATCAAAACCGTCAAAAAAGTTATCAGTGTGCACTGCTTTGGAAAATATACGACAAACCCCTACACTCTATCGTGTGGCAAAGGAAATTCAAGATTGCATCGTTGAACGTCTAAAAGATTTTACGGGTACAACCAATCCAGCCATACACCGGCAAATTGTGCGTTTACCTTTGGGCGTTGCTGCACTACTCAAGGCACAGCCATCATTGATTTCATCAGCAGTGCGTGCATTCTGTGAACGTGATTCAATTGACTTAAAAGCTTGTCGTTCAATGCGTTATTTTCCACCCGAGCAATGCGTTCGTTGTAGTGTTCGTTTTACACGTTGTCTCTACGCCATGCTAATGCATACTGATTACAAACCCGATCGAAAGGTTGGCTGGCAACTGGATTTTAATACAAATTCGGAGCAATACAAAGAGCAAATTATAGGTATCAAAATAGCTTGTGGTTTTGAAATACTGGCATCACAGGCTAAGAGTGCTGATCAAGCAGAAAATGAACCCGCCTGGCGTGCATATGTAAATAATTTGTCATCAAAAGGGTATTTTAAAGAAAATTTAGAGGGTTCAGAGGAGTATAAAAGGCTTTTTAGTGATGCACGTACATACTTTACCAAAAATAAAGAACGTTTCCGAACAGCTCCCTTAGTGGGACGAGAAATTCTTCATTTGTTACAAAGCATGGAAATATCTGCCGATCTCTTTAGTGATGAGGAAAACAATTTAGAAGTAAGTAAAACATGCTGCTATTGATTCTTTTATTTCAATACAAGTAATCTTTTCAGCCAAGTGATTCAGATGATTGGTTAAACATTAGCGCCGATCAATTGGATGCAATGCTCATAGAACGTTATGGCCCTAAAAAATTATATAAGCCAAATGGTGACATAAACGCCGACGAATTCACAAGAAATATTGCCGATTTCCTTGAAAAAGAATCGTTATACGAAGGTATTGGTGATGATGACGACGAGGACGAAGGCGATGACACAGAATCAGAATCGGAAGAAATTGAAAGTGCGGCAAGTTCAAATAGAAAAACAAAAGATGAATCGAAAACAAAAGTTAGAAAAAATCACTCCATGCGCAAAGCTTGCAATCGTAATTCAATTATTAAAGAAAAAGCAAAGGAGAACACCAATCAAAAAAATAAAAGTTGCGAGTCTGAAGATAGCACACATGTACGAAACTTTTTGGATTTCGTTATACCCGAAGATAAGTGGGACTCCAATTCCGAAATGAGTGATTACGAAGATGACGATAATTTAGAGCATAATTTCGAAGCAATGTCGAAATCGGATAAGAACATAGATAAGCGTATCAAAAAGTATATGGACCAAATGGATAAAGAGTTGGCCAATACTACAATTGGAAAGAGTTTTGAAAATAAAAACGCAACCAAAGGAACTGATGATGATTTTGATGATATCGAAACTTTTCAACCCATCAATATAAACGTTAACACTTTAAAAAATATAGTAGCTAGTTACAAATCACAATTGGGTGGACCAGGACCAGTTTCGAATTTGTTGAACGCAATGGGTGTGGGTATGTCAACCACGACCGCACTGGACAGTGACGATGATGAAGCGGACGAAGCGTTAAAAGAGTCTAGAGTGTAAATTAAATTTATGCACTTTTGAGTGTGTTATTTACATCTCTTTCCACTCTTCCAATATGTTTGCATATGAGTACTTATTGCAAAAACTTTTGCGCACATCTAAAAATTGTAACCATTTCATTAACTATAAGATGTCCCAATCAAAGTCAAATGTAAGCCCATATCCTACAAATGAATTTATCGAAAAATACATCTTTTGAAGAATACATTTTGAGCAAACATTATATAATATAATTAACATGCAATTATTTATTTGTTCATAATAAGACGAATGAAAGAAAAAATGTCATCAATTTGAAAGAAATAGCCTTGAATAAACCTAATCTTGCACCACATATTCCTTTAATTACTAATCTTTTGACGCTGGAACAAAGTTTCCATAGTCTCGTCGTATATTCATTGGTTGGTGAGGACGTTCATCCCTTTCACGTTCATCCCGTTCACGTTCACTGCCACCACGAAAGTTTCTATCATAGGGCTTATCATTGTGTCGTCTATTGTTATGTCTTTGGTATGGCCCACTGCCTCCTCGATATTCTCGTTCACCGCGATCCCGTTTGCGATTATTCCATCCACCACGGTTGTACCGATTGCCACCTCCATAGTTATTGCGTTGTCCACCACCGCGATAATTGTTACCGGCACCTGAATATCCCCAGTTTTCAACTATCGGCGGATCTCCCAGTGGTTTGGAGCAGTGATTCGCAAATTCTACATCTTCATCAGTAAAACGATTTGCAAATTCCTCCTGACATTCATCCAAAAATTGTATATCCTTATCTGTCAGCCGATTGATTTTACGATTAGGATCAACCATACTGAATTAAATTTTTTATTTTTAAAATCGATTTAAATTTCTGGTTTAGTAAAAATATTAACAAAATCTTTAACCTAACTTAAATACGGATTTACAAAAACTAATTACGAATGCATGAAAATAAGAAACATCAAAACATTGCAATCAGCTGTTCAAAGCACATTCACAATGAGGGAAGGTACGTCAAAAATCTTTCATAAATATAGACTTTCTTATGTTATAATAATAATTGAAAACATTTAAAAATTTGTTTAGCGTTAATATTGTATAACAAAAAAATACTTTATTTTATTTTTCCACTAAATATTTTATCTAAATCTAACAGTTTTTGGTAGAAATTTTGTATTCATAGATTGAGAGCTCCTGTCCCTTTTAATGTTTCTGTGAATGTAACTTTTTTATTTACTTTATCTTGTGATATAGTGCATTGCTTTTGTTTGGTTGAAAATATGATAAACTTAATACAATAATGTGAAAATATTAAAGCAAAGTTTTTCTAACTTAATTTAGAATAAGTAATAAGGAAAAAGTGAAATATTGTAAATTCATCAATGCACTTTTAATACTGTAAAAACGTCCACACCACTGTCATGCCTTGTGCATTGTCTGCACCCGCCACTAGTAGCCCTTTAAGTCCACTCTATACGACAATTTCAATAAAGTGTACATCCGTGCGTCAACGTGCTCACCGGTTTCTGCAAACACTACATACACTTCCACTTTATGAACAAGAGTACACATAGTGACCAAAATGACTGACAATATAGCCTTTCGATGGTTGCGACGATATAAATTATTCTTTTTCGTGGGTCTCGTAATACTAGGTGTACAAATTTTTCTCGCCTACAAATCACTAAATATAACTAGTTCCAATGTTATTGCTGCAAATACAAATTTATTTTCGGATAACACTGCTGCAGTGACAGAATATATCAATTATCAAACTAAGAAACGATCTTTGAATCAAGGTGTTGTTGCTAGCCAGCACTCGGCCAGTAGTATAGGCGATACAAAAAATGTGAAAACTGATCGAAAGTATGACGATGCTAACTTACGATTAACACAAACTGAACGTTTTGGTATACGGCCCGAATGTAACATTACATCTAAGGAGGCTATTTCCGCATTGCAGCGAGCCAAAACTAAAGACTGTCGTAAACAGATTGCTCACACTGCATGTGCCATTCAAGAGGGTAATTTCTATGCTCAACACTTGCCCAGCTACTGTCCCGCTGGCAATCACACCGTAAATTACTTGCTTGGCTGCTATCAGGACGAAAAAGAATATCGCCTACTATCAGGATACTTTACTAATTTCAAAACAACAAACTCGCCGCGAAAATGTATACGTCTGTGTCTGCAATCGGGATTTCCTTATGCGGGTCTACAATATGCTACCGAATGTTTTTGTGGTGCTGATGCACCGCCCGTGTCAGCCAAATTGCCTGAATCTAGTTGTAATATGAAGTGTTCAGGAGATCCCAAAGAGCTATGTGGTGGATATTTCAGTATGAATGTATACGAAACTGGCATCGCAAGTAAGTTTACATCCTTTTAACTAATCGAGCATAAGTTCGATGTGCAACGAGCATTGCATAATTTGCTATTTTTATGTGACTGTATATTTATGTGTGTACATATGTTTATTTTGTCAACAATTTAGTATAATTATGTTTTGCAGAATTCAACCCACATATTGCTGACACTAAAATTTCCCGCCCGGATACTGAGCGTTTACGAATTGCATTTCTGCTGACGCTTAACGGACGTGCTTTGCGACAAGTGCATCGGTTAATTAAAACGCTCTACTCACCAGATCATGTGTTCTACATACATGTAGATGCGGTAAGTTAACTGTTTATTAATGTACACTGATTTTTATTATACCCTGGACGGAGTATATTAAGTTTGCCACGAAGCTTGCAACATCCAGATGGAAACATCGGAGACATTATAAAATACGGGATGTGTCGATTAAACCACGTCCTTCTGTCTGTATATACGCGAAATATTGTCTCAGTTTTTGAGATATATATCTGAAATTTTGTATCTCTCCTTTACTCACCAAGGAGCTGCTATTTTGTTGGAACGGCCGATATCGGACCACTATAGCATATAGCTGCCAGCTCAACGATCAAAATCAAGTTCATGTATGGAAAACTTATTTATTTGTGAAGTTATCTTCACGAAATTCGGCATAGATTATTGCCCAAAGTAGTGCTACAATATCCGAGAAAATGTTCCATATCAGTCCACTATAGCATATAGCTGCCATACAAATTGAACGTTTGAAATCAAGTAAACTTTTTACTTGTGAAGGGTATTATAGCTTCGGGACAACCGAAATTAACCATCTTTTTATTTTTAATTAAGATAACGATTATATAGAAAAAAAAAGATTAATAGGCATGCATATGTATCTACGTAAGCTGTAACTGCACTGCACATCTATGGTATATAGAATTATATTGTTGTGTTTAATACAAGCACTTAACACACATTTTACTAATGAATTACGTTTCCGTTTCCATTTTAGCGTCAAGCGTATCTATATAGGAAATTACTGGAGCTGGAATCCAAATTTCCAAACATACGTTTGGGCAGAAAACGTTTCTCCACCATCTGGGGTGGTGCATCCCTACTCACAATGCTAATGCAATGCATGGAGGATCTATTGTCTTCTGAGTGGCAGTGGGATTTCGTCATAAATCTCAGTGAAAGTGATTTTCCTGTTAAAACGCTCGACAAACTGGTTACTTTCCTCACAGCGAATAAAGATTACAATTTCGTGAAAAGTCATGGACGTGAAACGCAACGTTTCGTGCAGAAACAAGGGCTCGATAAGACATTCGTCGAATGCGACACACATATGTGGCGTATAGGTGATCGTGAGTTGCCCAATGGCATACAAATTGATGGCGGCAGTGACTGGGTGGCGCTATCGCGTCCATTTGTACATTATGTTATTACGGAGTCACCGCAAGATCCACTACTGCAAGGGCTATTGACAATTTTTCGACATACCTTGCTGCCGGCAGAATCATTCTTTCACACAGTGCTGCGTAATTCGCAATTTTGCAACAGATACATAGATAATAACCTACATGTGACCAATTGGAAACGTAAACTCGGTTGTAAATGTCAATATAAACATGTCGTCGATTGGTGCGGCTGCAGTCCGAATGATTTCAAACCAGAAGATTGGTCACGACTGCAGAGCACCGAAAATAAAATGCTATTTTTTGCACGCAAATTCGAACCGATAATAAATCAGGCGGTGCTCTTGCAATTGGAGGAGTGGCTGTTTGGGGCACACAGCAAAGAAGTGGTCAATTTACATAGCTATTGGCAATCACTTTACGATGCAGTGGATCCACCAACAGCCGGTGACGATTTATTGCGTACCATAGCTGAGAGTTTAGTACGCTTGGCGGCACAGCATACGCACACGCGACCCGGTCGCCTACTAGAGTTAACACATTATCTACACAAAGACGAATACAAAGGTTTCCTAATGCGTTACGAACTAATCGAAGCGTCTCACAATCGCACACAAGCATTTGAAACGCGCATAAGACCCGCCGTGTATGTGAAATATGCGAAAAATTCCAAACTTGCCAAGCGTTTACGTAATTTCGAAGTTGCTTCCGATTTCGATCTGAAGGAACAAGTGTCACGCAATTTCGCTAAAATGCTCGGCCCCTACACGGAGCTTATGCTCAGCTTTACACTAACCGGCGCCGGTGCGGCGGCGCAAAACGATGCCGCACATTCATATAATCTCACACTGCTGTGGATTGATCCGCTCGGCCGTCTACAAGACTATAATGAATTGCATATAGAAGACTCACAAACAGATGCAATTAACTACTCCAAAGCTGTGCTGAATCAACCAATAATGCCCGGTATTTGGACCGCCAAGCTGATCGGTCGTAGCGCAATATACGCGCAAACTAAATTCCTCGTCGTGCCATTAACGCTGTACGCAGGCAAACCACTCAAACCGGAGCGCGCGAAGTTGGTGAACGGTGGTGCGGCGCCCACATTGCCCGACACTTTCGAAATGCCTGCGGAATGGCGGCAACATTTACCAACAGCAATGGAAGAACAGCGACGTCAAAAAGAAGTGTCCAAAGCGTTGCGTTTTGGCGATGATCTGCACGCTTGGGTCGATGATTTGGTGAGCAAATTCTTTTTTATGCGCGAGACGTGCGCAGTGGACGAGCAGGCGCTGCAAATGACATTTGCCGAACAGCTGTCGCTGCATTTATGCCGTGAAACGCCGTGGAGCTCGCTGGCGCACGATCCGAAAAGTGATGTTTACAGTTTGCTCAAAAGTTGATGAACGTATTTACGTTATTTTAAGTTGTTTTCCATTGCTTAATATTATTATTGCATTTAAGACTGTGTTCACACGGAGACTCTTTTTTTTTTTTGCCTAAACCGGTTTTTTTTTTTTGCAAAATGCGGACACCAATAGAGAATTTGCCGATAATGAGCGTCAGAGTTCTCGTGTAAACGCGGTCTAACGAAACATATTTTATATTTCACATCCATGCATGCATACATACATATGTACATGTGTTTATTTATTATTGTTCGCCACATTTATGCCATATGCCAAATAGCATACTCTTTTGTACTACTGTAAGCCAAACCAAAGGTTACGTTACTGGCAACGCAATCGCTTTTTAAGCCATAAAACAAATGTCAAATGCTGTTGCATGATTTTGCAATTTGAAATTGCGCATGCGTTAATAAGTTTAAAAAGTACATGTTAATTTAATATTTTTGTATTGTTGCACACATATCTTGCGGAAAGTTGTAGACAACTTTTTTTTTTTATAATTTTAAATCGGAAGCGGAACTAAAAAAAGCACATATTTAGCAAATATATTAATTATGAAGGAATTTTTATCAAATTATGTTAGTAAAAAGTGTTCTAAACACACACTTAGCTCGAACATAATTTGCAATTTTAATTATTTAGTGTTTATTATAGACATTAAAAATAAGTTTACGTCTTGTGATACAAAGTAAAACAAAAAAATATGTAATTTAACACTTTTTTGCTAATCAAACTCATATTTGCACTTAGCATTGACTAAATAACTGCACTATACATACATTGTACAAGCATACATATTTATATGTGTGTGTTTTCCGTCTTTTTAAAACGATATACTTACACTAGATAGTTTAGCTATAAATAATCAATCTCAGCTTAACTGATGTTTCTGCCACAAAAATTAATACAAGAAAAGAATAGAAGGAAATGCAAAAGTACATACTCGTACGCAGATTCGATAAATTTGCACCAATTATGACTTCAACAGCCTTGTGCTATTTTTTTATTCTTAAAAATTTATTACTAAAATACAATATTTTTGATGTAAAATAACGCACCTTTCAATAAATCATGTAAATTATGTTTCGAAAAATATAGTAACTAAATTAATATGTAATATATTTTATTTATATACCTAAATAAATTATTGCCATGCAAAAAGTTGTTTTGGTTGGTCTTGATTGGGTGAAAGTAAAGTAAAGTTTGTTTTCGGAAGGACGGCAGACTTTAATAGAACATACATATATGTAACACGTAAGAAAAAGGCTATTGATAAAGAAAAGAAAATGTGTGAACGATATAGACACTAGTTCCAGTCACACAATTTTTCTAAACTTCGCACATAACCTAATTTTTAGTTTTAACTCCAACGAAATGTTTGTAGTAATTCGAAGCGTACAGGAAGTATATAAGTTTATAATAAATTAATTCAAAGACAATTTTTTTCTATAATAATACACACATACAATATTCATACTTATATCTTTCAACTATAGCAAATCATTAATTCAAAAGCCTCATAGAATTATAAATTATGGTTGGTTTGTCCAACACCCACAGCATGAAAAAAAGTTTTAAATTGAAACAGCACATTTTAACTTTTATGAAGCACTCTAATCCATTCCTTCTATTTCAAACATAATTAAAATATAATAAACACTTTATATGCACAGATCATCATCTGGGTCTTCCTCCTCCTCATCAAAGTCATCGCCATCATCGGGTGTGTAGATAATTGAACTTTCATTAGTTTCAGATGTTCTACAATGACACAAATTAACAGTTACATATAATAGAGGCACAAAAACACATAATTTCACAGCGAAAAACACACATACTTTTCATAAGGCAACTTTAGTGTATTGCGCGCGACCATTTCATCTTCATTCAATTCGATTTTGAATGTTGTACCAGGTGTATTCGTAGTTGTTGTGGAAGTAGCTTTGGCTACTGGTGTAGTCTTTGGTACGTTTTGTAATGCCTCTACTAGGAATTCATTTTTTGTTTTTGTATATGTATATTTTTTGTTCCATACGCCACCACCTGTTTTGCGTGAAACAATGGACAGAGTATTGCTTGTCTCCAAGTGCAATACTAAATCAGCTTGGTATTCAAAAGCGCCTACCAAATATTCGACATGTGGATGTACAAGATTTGCTGGTGTCACCCATAGAAGGATACGTTGCACTTGTTCGCATTGTTGAAGTCTATGTACAAAATATATGATTTTCTCAACACTTTGATAGCACAATAGATCGGCAAGTGGCGGCAAAATGGCATTGCATTTACTTTCATCATTTGCACATTTTTTATAGAAATTTTTGAATGTCGACCAATTTTCTAAATCTGTATTTAATGGCAGTGTTTTTATGGTTGACTTTTCGTCCTGTCCCTGCTCTCGCAGCAGCTGACAGAGTATATTGTGCGCAATCTTCTCCTGAGCTGTTTCGTCTGTAAACAAAGACAAAATTGTATGAATGATGATTTGTTGTGAATTATGATAACTTACCAATTATTACCACAAACCGTTCACTGGTGATTATCAAATTTGAAAGCATTGTTTTTAACAGAAATTACGGAAGGCAAATAAAATAAAGACAAATCTGCAGACAAGGATGACATGATGCGAGACTCTCTCATTTTCGCTGATTTTTCTGTTATTCTCTTTCCCTGATTATTAAAATCAGGGAATTTCGAACAGCTGATGTCAAAAAAAAACGGGATGCCAGAAATAAACCAGCCAAAAATAGCTAACAAAAGCAGTGCGAAACGAAATTTCAAGGAACGACACAAATACATTTGAATAACGTGCAACTAAATTTTATTTGTTAATTTAATTTAAAACGTTCATTATAAAACCATGATCTTTTATTATGACTTGTTTTGTTTCTTTGTTATAATTTTTTTTTATTTATATGCAATTTTTTTTATGTTATATGATTTTTTAAAAATTTTATAATATAAATACACGTATATAGGGATGTATATGCGTTATATAGGCCTACTCGGGGACGGAGCACCTAAAAATAATACTGAAATACAAAATACCCAAAAGTTTTTTTTATAATACCCAATCCATTTTCTTTCGACAGTGGCATGATTGGCAAATGTTATAAAAAATGTGGGTTTTGACAGCTCTCTCTCGATTCAAAGAGTCTCGCATCATTTCATCCTTGCTGCAGAAACACGCTAAATTTTTTTATTTACACAACTGCACTATCTTCTTCTTCTCTTTGTTACATGACATTCACAATAGTGTGCATTTTAATTACATAAATTTTATTGTAACATTAAATAATAAACATTATTTGAAAATTTAATTTAATTTGAGGACAGTGTGGTTTTTAAAGTGCTTTCATGTTGAAAAAGTGGAATAGCGCTGGTTAAGCGCTATTTACTGTTATTAAGTTTTGTGAAAGTTTACGACTTTGCAGCAATCGGAACGCTATTGGTCTAATTAGGTAAGTAGCCGCCAAGCCAACATTTCGGAAATTTTTGTTAATTGTTTCTATACTATACACGTTTTTATTGTTGTTACAGCTGCATAAAACAAATAGTTTAGAAGATTACTGCCGTGTTGATAACCTTCGACCGAATTCAAGCTAATCTGTGTTCATCTCGTTACGTAGTCCCTTTATAGATATTAATGTACTTATTCAGCAGACCAGTGCGCTTCAAAATTCTTGCACAGATTCGTAGAAGCAAAATTCAATTTTCAAAATTTGAGGTCAGAAAGGTGAACAAAGAAATCTGACACTGTTTCAAAACATATTGTGCTCCAACGCGGTGAAATCATTATACTAAGAAGATTTCCGGTTAGATATTTGTTATATATCTATAACAGGTTAGTACTTTCCCGGTCATATTTTGATAATAATTAATTATAATATTTACAATAACAACAAAATACTTCGATAGCAGATTATCTGAATGGTATTTATATTGTTTTTGTCAATTAACCGCCATTTGTTTATATTGATATGTACTCACTTCCTTGCTGACACGGCGTATGAGTGATTTTGTTTTCAAACTTATTTGTTGCAAATTAATCTGTTACACACACAGGTGTTGGCAGAATAAAATCTTTTTAAAACTCGTTAAAAGTAAATATTTGATATTCTTTCAAAATTCAATGGAAAAAATAACGCAGAATCCCCGACTATAACCTTTTGTTGGATTGTTTATCGTATATTGTTGAAAGTGATTTACAGAAATCCTAGAATAAATCTATACAAAGCTTTGATATACAATATGTACATGTAAAGGGTCTACCAGCAAGAACGACGTCTTTGAGCTCATCGAGCATTGATGGTTGATTGGGGTAATCTTTTGATTTAACAAACCCTCAAAGAAAATAATCTAAAGGCGTTAAATCATGATATTGGCAGCCATTTCTCGAAATTAACGAGTTGTCACACTTTGCACGCAATGTGTCCATGTTTAGAGGTGAAATATGAGGCGGCGCACCGTCTTGTTGGAAATAATAATCGCTCGCGTCGATTTCATCAAATTCCGGGGGGAAAAAAGTCGGTCAACATCGTTTTATAACGCTCGCTATTGACGGTAAAGGCATTTCCTGCCTCATTTCGAAAGAAATAATACTATGATGCCGCCATACTACAGTTCGCACAGTTACATTTCCTGAACTACACTAAGCCAGAAATGGGCGTCATCTAAGAAGATGATTTTTCGAAGAAGCATGGCCACCATGAGTTGTCATCCCTATTGGTAGACGCTAAACATGTTCTATTTCTTCTTTTGGGTAACAGCTGGCACTGCACCACAATGAGGAACCGTAATTTTCAAAAGTTCAAAGAGAGCGCAAACTTGTTGATATTAAAATGGCGTTTCCCAATACAAAAAGACAAAAGAATTCTGAGTCGATTGTATTCGAACATATGTATGTATGTACATAAGTATATGCAAATATTATTATTATTTATGTATTAAGCTTAGATCAAAAGTTGGCCGCACATAAAATCAATTGCAGAATTGAATTAAATGTGGAGCGCTTAAAGTTTTTGCTTTATTGTATGTATGGATGTATGTGTGACTATGTAAAAGTACATGCAAATATATAAACAAGCATTGTTGGCATATTGATTTACACATATATAGATTTAATTGCAGATAACTACGTATTATGTAAATTCTTTTGCTCACTTGTGACTTTAAAAATGCGCGCATTTTGTATAAAAAGTAGAAACAATTGTGTTTTACTGTTTGTATATATGTAAAATATAGTATATAAATTTTGTCCGGTTGTAATGTTAGTATAATGTAATCAAACAATACTGCTTGTTTGATACAAAATTGTATGAATACCATATATGTACAAGACATACATATGTATATACATATACATATGCATTTAGCAATATTTTTAATACAATTCTTCAATATGTACATATGTATGTATAAACAGTTTTTTTATTATCGCATTTGTATCAATTCTTTAGCATGCCATACGACAACTGCATGAACAAAGCATTACAAATAAACAATCGGGACAGTCTTGCCGTGATTGCAATAAAACAAAAAATCTCGCTCTTATAGTCAGCAATGATAACTGATCAGCTGACCACAACAATTGAGGACTTGTTGATGAGCCGTAATATGTATGTATGTACATATATAGTAACGTATAGTGTCACCCACTGCATACTCAAAAGATTTGTACAATAACTAGCATAGTTTCTTCAGATTACTTTCGGTTCTGTGAAATACTGGCGGTAATTTTGAAGCACCTTCTTTTTGATTGCATACGCGAGCAGGGAGCGAATTGACATTCTGGATCCAATAAAAATTCTTGAATTAATTAGAGAGCTGGGCCTGTACGTGGAAAGGAGAGTGAACAGATCCCAGTGCTTACGGAAGGTATTTGGCGATTGGGATCTAAGTTACAATAATAATCAAAAAATCTTCATCTCTAATGTCGTTGTAATTTCCTAAGAAATTTTCACTGATTCCTTTAAATATGACTCGTTTGGGTACCATACATATAAATATAATGTATGGATAAATCTTTCACAACGTTTACCAATTAGACCACCAAGTGAACAAAAGAAGAAAGGAATTTAAGGGAGGAAACCAGTTTAGGAGGCCGAAATTAAAGTGTTTTTTTCTGATTTTTTTTTAACTGAGAAAGAATACTTAGAATTCGTTTAAACATGCAGGTTAGGTTATTCCTATTTTGAACTTTACTTTTAAAGTTTTCGATGCCATTTCGGCCGCAAGTGGTGGAGGGTGGTGTCCATTGACGATCGCCATCAGAGTTGATTGCTGCCGGGACACCTGGAGGTCAGAGTTTTTAACTGAAATCATTAATTTTTTTTCCTTCGTTAATAACATATTTTCTAAGAATATGAATCAAACTCTAACCAAAAGAGTTGATAATTAAATGTTTTGGAGGTGTTTGAACAAAATGTGATATTTTTATATCAGTTTTTTTCACCTTTCTTACAAAAAAAAAATATATTTTACTTAATAATATTATTTCAGAATTTGGTTCATATTTTTCGGACTTGAATAAAGGATATTCACATAAATTTTCAGATCGATTCGTCAATAACTTTTCGAGCTACGATTTCCGCAAGTTGAAAAAAAATCGTTTCGAGAAAAACGCATTTGAAACAAGTAAGGAAGGCTAAGTTCGGATGTAACCGAACATTTTATACTCTCGCAAAGTCAAATGGTATACTCGTTTGAGATTTCTTTGTGGATTGACTGATATTTTCGGTAGAAGGTCAACTATAGGCACTGGGGTCCACATATTTAGTACTTAGGGGCTTGAACAGTTTTGGTTCGATTTAGAAAATTTTTGGTCACAAGGTGGCATACTTTAAACGTATTATTCACGCAAAGTTTTACGCCGATATAATCATTGTTGCTTGATTTGCATAGTGGAAAGTGAAAGAATCAAGTGGTATTTAAAATGGTGTCATATGGAAAATAGGCGTGGTTGTAATCCGATTTCGCCCATTTTCGCACTATGACATAGAAACATGAAGAACGTTATGCACCGAATTTGGTTGAAATCGGTTAAGCAGATCTCAAGATATGGGTTTTCACCTAAAAGTGGGCTGTGCCACGCCCACTGTCTAATTTTGAACGTGGTTCCTATAAAGTCATCTTATACCATCTCAGAGATAAAATTTAATGTCTCTGGCGTGTTTAGTGCTTGATTTATAGTTTTTAACAGTACCGTTATATGGGGAGTGGGCGGAGTTGCCACCCGATTTCAACTATTTTCACACCGTCAATAGAAGTGCTAAAAACATTTGCTTCCAGTGAATTTTGTTATTATATCATTAGCGGTTTAGGAGATATGCACATTAAACCTATTAGAGGCGGGACCACGCCCACTTTTAAAAAAAAAATTTTAACTGCAGATGCCCCTCCCTAATGTGATTCTGTGTACCAAATAACAGTCTTGTATCTTATTGCGGAGCTTAGTTATGGCAAGTTATTTGTTTTTGATTAATGGCGTTTTGTGGGCGTGGCAGTGGTCCGATTACGCCCATCTGCAATACCAACCGTCTCACGGTACCATGAAACATGTCTACCAAGTTTCATAAAGATATCTCAATTTTTACTCAAGTTAGAGCTTGCACGGACGGACGGACAGACAGTCACCCGGATTTCAACTCGTCTCTTCATCCTGATCATTTATATATATATAACCCTATATCTAACTCGATTAATTTTAGGTGATACAAACAACCGTTAGGTGAACAAAACTATTATACTCTGTAGCAACAGGTTGCGAGAGTATAAAAAGTGCGCTTTGCCACTGAATTGACCGGTGTTTACCTTAGTGCTCATATCATCGGAACTAATTAGAATTTCGTTTTGAAACGTTATGCAATAAAAAATCGATTTTTTTGAATCATCTAAACTGATTTCCCCCCTTAAATACATAAACCTTGAGCTATTAGGATCAGTTTAAACAAGTAACAATAGGTTATTGGTTAAAATTATACTTGAAGATTAAAGAACCCAGTTGCGATCCCAAATTTTCCACGGCGTAAATTAATTTTTATAGCGATCAAAGACAAACTTTCTAATTTCGGCCATAAAAAAGGTTCCTGAAAAAATCTATTCAGCCGCCTTCATATATTATTCGGAGAAAAAGTTGTCTTTAGTAGATTGGCTCTGTTGTTAGCCTTTGGACGTTCGCTATATAAGTCTGATCTGTTCCAATTACATAGTTGCGATGGTC